ATTGATGTGAACAAAAGCAAAAATGCTTCTATTGTGCACTCAATATATTTAAAGCAGACATGAAACGCTGGGAAAAGAGAGAATATTTGATTGCATAAAATAGCGCTTTAACGCATGATGCTAACATTTGCTTTACCAACTATATTATGAACAGCCAGTCCTCTAACTCCAGTCTCTTAGGTTTCACTGTTTATTAACTGCAGTACATATTCTACCTGATCCACCTGATTCTGATTAATTATCTAGTATTTAGCTACTTTTAAAACTGAGCTCATTCAGTAAAATTGAAGTCATCTGATGAGTGGAAATCTTAAAGCAGGGGTGTCCAACTCCAGGCCTCAAGGGCCGGTGTCCTGCAGGTTTTAGATCTATAAATCCAAAACAGATAGATACAGGAGCAGCATAAATCATAAAAATTGTATAATCTTTTATAAAACAACATTGTTAAAAGTGCTACAGGTCTACACTGAAGGTCTTATAATGTAAGGCTGTGTGAAAATGTATATAGTGATACAACAGTGATAAAATAATAAAAAGGTTAAAGAAATAAAAAAATAAAATAAAATAAAACTGAGATTGTGAAAAAGAGAATTCTGGCAAAGGTCCTTCATAACATGTGCGCTATAAATATGAGAGTAGCAAAGAGGCTTGATACAGGAGTGTCTGTGGAGTCTTATGTCCTGACAGGTGTGTTTACCTGTCACATAAGAAGAGCTCTTGTGAAGTGTTATAGAAAGCGGCTGGAATGATTTCCTGCAGCGTTCTTTATGGCAGCACGGTCGAATATGAACCAGCCTCTGCTATCTCTACAGTGTGAAATGTAGAGGTGATGGTTCGTTCAGTGACCTCCTGTCCCTCACTGACTAAAATGCCTCAAGATTCTGGACAATGGTAGACTGAGCCAGTTTGTTATTCTGTTAGATATAAAGATGGGAATTTTTCCTGCACATGAAAAATAATGAACTCAAGAGGAAGATTTCATATCTTCTGCTAAGAAAAAAATCACCAGTATTTGTACTTTTTTCCCCAGATGAGCAGAAAAGCAAAACAGGTAAATGTATAGGCTCCTAATCACTGCGCACACGAATTCTCTGTTACATTACAGATCAAAATATTTACTCAGGGAAAAATATCATTGCAAATTTGATTCAGACAGTTGAATAAAGAGAAGCTGATTTTGAATCATTCTGGAAGGCAAGTCAAGCAAATCCTTCGTCCCTACAATGCAGGCCATGTGCAGATGAATCATGCTGTCACTGTGCCTGAGAGCAGGGCTCTCGCTCCTCATGGGGAGCGTCAGACGGCAGGAAGGAGGAGGTTTTATAGGGCAGAGCACACCAGGTCTTAACCATAAATTTAGCGCCTGCTAAACAAAACACAACTAAAAAGAAAGGGGAAACACACACATACAACTTCACAGCATATGTGATTTATTCTTAATAAATTACATTTTCCATTGAACCACATCATATAACAGTTTACATCCTGAGCTGATATCAACATATCAGTTAAAAGGAAATTTGATGATTGAACAGCAACTTTAAAAAAGCACCAATCAGGAAGGGCACAGTGTGAGAATAACACAAGCATTATTGAATTTCATCCTTACTTTGATTTATTCTTTTTTTGTGCTTATTGCTCCAGCTGCACATGGAGTCCACACCTTTCTCACTGACGTGAGTGGTTTCGATAAAGGTACAGGGACACTTGCCTCTCTCAGTAAAACCTCAGAATTTTCACTCAAATTAAGGATTTGTTTTTCAAGTCACATTAAGAAAAGCATCCTTAAAGATTGTAACTACTTTTTCCAAGTGCTCTCAACAACTAAAGGCTCAGTAGTAAGACAGCGTGCAGTAATAAGTAATATCTAAAGTTAAAACAGTTATATAGTTATATGAAAAAAAGGCAATTAAAGTAGAAAAATGTCTTTTAAGACCGGCAACATGAAATTCGAGTATAAATTATAAATCACATGCTGTGATTATATTTTATAGAAAACATTTCCTTTGATCCACGTTCAAAAGTACAAACAGTTCTGACATACAAATAGCCTCTTCAGCTTTGAAAAGAACTTAATTCATAAAAACTTTATCATGCTATCCATTTTAATGCTCATCAAAGTGCACCAAAAGCTCCAAATGTGCTGGTATGTTTAGAAAGTGTTGACACAAAGCACACATACCCTCTGTTACCCACAGTATGTGCATTCACGAAAAGGCTGCAGTGTCTAGAAACGGTTTAAAACTGTCAATGATGAATACTGACCCAATGCAGAAGTTCGAAAGCATCACAGCACAGACAAACCAAACTCACTTCATCACTTCTAACAAATCATAGGACGTCTATGATAGCTTTTACGATTACATACATACATACATACAAAAGTGGAAAATCTCTTGCACATGTGCAATCCTCAACCCCAAAAAAACACATATTTTTCATTTAAATCTTTCATCTGTTGGTAAATAGTAGTGATAGAAAAAAATGGGTTTGAGAAGAACCGATGATCAGGTTTGCTGGCTTTTTAGAAATCAGTGTTACCTTTTAAATGCACCTCTTTGTGTTTAAAAAGATGTGTGTAATGCAGATTCAAGGAAGAAGATTTCACAGTGCATCATTTAAAGCCGGCGCAAACTGGTCATGTGACCCCAGCAAAGTGTATTTGTCTAATGCTCTCAAGGCTATTGTTACTGACTGTGCAAAGTGAAAATGTAAACTGTTTTTCTTCGATGCGCAGGGCGTTTAGCGTTGGACAAGTCTGCATACATTATGCAATTGAGCAGTTCTTGCAATAAGCTGGATGATGGTGTCTGTTTCTGTCATCTTTTGGAGCGGTGCCGGCGGCGTTATCGTCACACCACTCTCTGGAGGATGTAGAGGATGCCGATATTGTCGATAGTGACGAAGGTGGAGAAGTCAGATGACACGTGTATCTTCTTTAAAGCGCTTCCCGTTGTATAGAAGGTCTGCAGAGCTTTGCCTGTCTTCACTTCCCACCACTTGATATAAAGAAGAAGGACAAAAAAACAAGAACATGTTCAAATCATTACGTTTGACCCAAGGGTATCTGAAAGAACAAGGAAGTTATGTACAAACCATTGAAGAAAATATGTATTTAGTTACATTTCTCTGGAACAAGTAAATCAAGGCAGAAGTCGTGTAATGTGCATTATGATTTGTCTGATTCATGAAACAAAGACAACAACAAAAACTAAAAAGACTCAGTAGTTTACGATGGCTGCCCAGAAGACCATTTCGAATTTAATATTCTAAAATCTCCAGACTCAAACTCACGCACACACCCACAGGCTCTCTCAAATACTTCGATGGAGACCCATAAACACACCACCCCCTGCAGCTTTTTTGAGTTATTCCCTTTAATCTCAGTTTAAAGTTGACATTTTCCATTGAAGCTCCTTCTCACTGGGATGAATCATCAAAGGCACATCAAGTCAATCATTAATAGCTTGGCACGAGTGTGTGTGTGTGTGTGTGTGTGTGTGTGTGTGTGTGTGTGTGTGTGTGTGTGCGCGTGCGCATTCAGCGTTTACAATATTAGGCACGATGATGACACATCAAAACAAGAAACGATGCCCCTCCCAGCTAAATAAAGACGGCGTGACTTTTTTAATAGGTTTAATCTTTAGTAGCTGAGCATGTTTTTGTTATGAACCTTTAGCTGCTCTGAGTGTGGGTTAATAAAGGAAAGCAGGCCAATCCCTAAGTCTATCGACAGACTGCAACAGAAGAGGTGGCAGCAGCAGATTGCTGGCTTATAGGAGGTGC